TCCGTTGTTTCGTTTTCCGCACTGTGGTGTTACTCGCGCTGGGCTCATCCCATGGGGCCTTGGGCCTTCGGCGGAGGGGCTCATGTTCGTGGCCCACGCTCTCGTGGCCGTTCTTCGATTGTATGTGCGCACTGCCAGAAGCGCTTCGGCGACGATGCTTGGCACTCAGGCGATCGCAAACATGGATCACGCGGGCGTGGGTTAGCGACGGGTCCCGTTTCCATGGTGAACCGCGGATTTCCGCCGCCGAGCGAGGCGGCACTGGCCGCATTTTGGGGAGGGCACCTCCCCCGACTCATGGATTTGGCGACCGCGCGCCGAATCCACGGATCGCTGATCCATGTTTGCGCGCCCCCGTTGTATGCGCTCTGCCAGAAGCGCTTCGGTGACGATGCTCGGCACTTCAGGGAGTTCCGCACGGGTGCTGCTGCACCTCTAGGGGAACAACCAATGCCATAAACATAAAAATTCTTCACGCTTCGCGTATCCCCACCAGCCCATCTCAAAACAGCAACTCTAGCGAAGCATGCCGACAGTCGTGTTTTTCAGGCGTGTTTCCGCCTGCCCCCGCATATCTCCCCTGTTCCTCCTTCCTCCCGCCTCCTTGTACATCCTCCTTGTGGTGGAAGCGGGAGAAGGACGAGGCGGAGGAGGAGGGAGAGAAAGCGCTCCTCGTGGTTTGAGTCGTTTGGGGCTTCTCGTCCTGGTGTGAGTCGTTCGGGCCCTTCTTCCTGGTGTGAGTCGTTCGGGCTCTTCGTGGTGTGAGTCGTTCGGGCTCTTCGTCCTGGTGTGAGTCGTTCGGGCTTCTCGTGGTGTGAGTTGTTCGGGCCCCTCGTCCTGGTGTGAGTCGTTCGGGCCCCTCCTCCTGCCCGTCCAGAAACGACGCCCAGGCGAGTAGAGGGTCGTCCTGATGGGCTTTTCGGCGTCTTGGGTGCCTCGGGGGGGCCTCTTTGGGCCGTTTGGGATCCTCTTGGGGGCCTCCTGGGGGCCTCTTGGGGCCATCTTGGGGCCTCTTGGTGCCTCCTGGGCGCTTCTTGGGGCCATCTTGGAGGAAATCGATCAAAGAAGAGGGGAGCTTTAATTAGCGCTGCCCCCTCAGAAGGCCACAATGGGGCCAAAACCTTAGTAAAATCAATGATTTTGGCTTGAAAGAAGAGGGGAGCTTTGATTAGCGCTGCCCCCTCAGAAGGCCAAAATGGGGCCAAAACCGTAGTAACATCAATGATTTTGGCTTCAAAGAAGAGGGGAGCATTTTTTCCCCTCCCCCCGTCGGGGCCAGAATGTGAGGGGTGTCGTTTTTTAGCCCTCCCAGGAGTCGAAAATGACCCCTCTGACGACCCGCGAAAGGACCTCTCCAGGCCCAGGGGGAGGGGGTAGGGGGAGGGGTAAACCCCTCCCCGAAGGGGAAGAAGGGGGGTTGAGAACAGAGAGAGCTCGCTAAACCACTCACGCCCAAAGGGCTGGTGGGACTCGGAGGTCCGCGCGGATTTCTCGGATCCGAGCTGGATCCCTCTGGCGGCGCCTCTGGCGCCGCCCCTGGCGCGCTCCGTGCGCCATGGAGGGGGGTCCAGCGCCGATCCGAGAAATCCGCACCGACCTTCGAGTTTTTAATGTTTGTGTCATTCTTCGTTCCCCGATTGCTGCATCTCAGCCAGCGACAGCGGCATCTCAGCCACGGCAAGTTCAGCATGGCCCGCGGCAGGGCGAGCACGGTGAGCCACCAGCAGCGTAGGCCCACACCACCTTGACAAGAAGCACGTGCAAGCACCGTGGGCAGTTTCCCGAAGTCTGGCTCTCCATACCACACCCTCTTGAAGGCCTCCACCCTGCTGCCCTGTTCTCCCTGATTCTCCCTGATCGTCGCGCGCCAGGAGGCCCGCATCGCCAAGTTGCCATCGACGTGCAGATGTACTACGCCAGCGCCCACATAGTAAAGGGCGCGTGTTCGGCGAAACGCCGAGAAGCGAACCTCCGTCCGCAACCGAAACGGACTGTAGCACCGCTCCACGGGACGAGACCGCCGCACCACGCGCACGAATCACTGCCGCCCCTTCCTCCCGAGCGTGGACCGCCGAGGGGCAGCAGCGCTGGCGGTGCATCCTGGCCGAGCGCAGCGCGGCCGTCCGCCTCGCTCTTCGGCGCGCCTCCCGCGTCGCTGCGCGAACACGTCGGAACGCCGTCCAAGCCGCATCGCAAGCACGGCGAGCAGCAAGCCGCAGTCACGAGCGCCAGCTCTGCAGGAGGTTCTCCCCCCGTGCAGCTGCTGGAGGTTCGGGCTTCAGGCTCATGAGCGGCGGGGAGGTGTCAGTCTCTGCCGACGTTCCCAGTTTGCCGTATCCCTCGACGTTTTAAGTCGGGCCTGCCCCTCTACCGGAGGGAGATTCAAAAATAGTCAGGGGACTTTTTTTTGGGACTATTTTTTGCGCATTTTGGGGGCATTTTTTTTGAGTATTTTTTATTTGTTCTCCCAAATTCCCCGCGTAGGGGGACACGCCCGACTTAATCCTAGTTCCTTCTTCACAGGCCCCTGGAAGGATACAGATTCACTGGGGGAAGTGCCCCGCTGGAATTCCAGCGCTGCGAGTGACCGTTATTGCTTGCGTCTTGACGATCCTCAACCGTGCCAGAACACAATTGCTAGGATTTCAACACCGCGAATCAAAGTTACTGTCGCGCCCTGATATTCCTACACCGTGTCAAAGCACCATTTCTGGGACGTCAGCCGTGAGAGTCTTTGAAACTGCTGCAAGCTCTGAAGACGAATGTGCGCGGCGCTGAGGCGAGAGCCACATTTTAAAACGGAACTGCCATTAAATTCTTGCATTTTAAAAGACAAAAGCGCGCGGAGCTAAGGCGAGAGCCACATGTTGAAAGCGGGCCGCCCTCCATCCGTGAATCTCTTGCAGTTTTTAAAGACGAATGAGCGCGGCGCTGAGGCGAGAGCAACATTTCGACAACGGCTCGCCCTCCATCCGTGAAGCTCTAGCGAATTTTTGGGGCAAGTGTGCGCGACGCTAAGGCGAGAGCCACACTTTGAGAGCGGGCCGCCCTCCACTCGCAAACCTCTTGCAGCTTTCGAGCTCGAGGATCAGAAGTGGTGAGGAAGTCTCAGGCGAAACGCCCGGCCCGCTTTTTCGACTGGCTTCGGGGTGCGACAAGGAGGAGGCACTCTTGATTACTTGGCGGCTCCTTGCGTGGCCTTCTCGGCCCTCTGCCATTCGCTGCCACGGGATTTTCTGGCCCATTCACTTTTCGCCTCCCACATGCGCTGCCGTTGCTGGCCGCATGGCTGTGGTGTCGAGATCCTTGGGGCGTGGTTTGGTCATCGCCCTCTTGAGTGGTCCTCCGCGGGGCTCGGGTGAGGCTGTCCCTGGGCAGTGTATCATCAAGGCCGCTTGCCTTTGCTGCTTAGAAGCCTCCGGGCGCGGGCGCGTTTTTGTGGTTGTGTTTGTTTTGTTTTGTGCGTTTTCCCCTCTGATGATGATGATGATGATGATGATGATGATGATGATGATGATGATGATGATGATGATGATGATGATGATGACGATGACGAGGATGCTACTGACGGTGAATGCCCATATCATGGTTGTTGATGACATTTTTTACGATGATGACTGTACGTGTAACTGCTCATTCGTTTTATCATATGCTGCATTACTAATATTACCAGTACTGTTGTTATTATGTGTGTAATTTCTGTTCGTGTCCTTATCATCAGTATGATCATTACTACCACCACCATAACCACCACAACCACCACTACTACCACTAATACTATTACTTCTAGTACTGCTACTGCTAATATCCTATTGTTGTGTACAACTGCTACTACTACTTCTCCTTCTTCTACTACGACTATTCTATTTACTTCTACTACTACTGTACGGCTGCTGCTACTACTACTACTACTACGACTACTACTACTACTACTACTACGACTACTACTACGACGACTACTACTACTATTACTACTACTACTACTACGACTACTACTACTACTACTACTACTACTACTACTACTACTACTACTACTACTACTACTACTACTACTACTACTACTACTACTACGACTACTACTACTACTACGACTACGACTACTACTTACTACTACTACTACTACTACTACTACCACGCGACTACAACTACGACGACTACTAGTACTACTATACTCGTACTAGTACTACTACTACACTACTACTACTACTATTCCTACTACTACTGCTACTACTACTACTACTACTACTACTACTACTACTACTACAACTACTACTACTACTACTACTACTACTACTACTACTACTACTACTACTACGACTACTACTACTACTACTACTACTACTACTACTACTACTACTACTACTACTACTACTACTACTACTACTACTACTACTACTACTACTACTACTACTACTACTACTACTACTACTACTACTACTACTACTACTACTACTAGTAAGGCTACGGCTACTGTTATCCGTAGTATTAGTCTTGTTGTGGTCATTGCCCATAATTTGTATACAATGCATTATCATACTGGTTACAATTTTTTCGTATAGTATTAGACGTATTCTTATGAGTTTGGCGATTGGCATTATGGGTATTATTGCTATTAGTCGTCATACTCACAGCTATTTCCAAAGCTTCGCATTCACATTTTTATGATTTATGCCTGATCTCAACTTCTTTTTATATAGATGTGCGTTGTCTTTGTTTGTGTGCATTCTCTCTCCATCTCTCCCATCACTGTTACCGCGATCGCAGCCCAGCCAGAAGGCGGAGGAGGAGGAGGAGGACGCTGAGGCGGAGGCGGATGTGGAGGAGGAGGAAAAGGAGGACGAGGAGGAGGCGGAGGAGGCGGAAGCGGAGGAGGAGGAGGCGGAGGAGGCGGAGGCGGAGGAGGAAGAGGAGGCGGAGGAGGAGGAGGAGGCGGAGGAGGAGGAGAAGGAGGAGGCGGAGGGAACAGGGCGACGTCGCCCGAAGGCTCCAGGCTGCCGCAGCCAGCCGTGCCCGAAGCACAGCCGCCGCCCGCGCGCGCGCCGCCCGAAGCTCCCACCCGTGGCGCCATGGCCGAGGCCCTGCAGCAGCAGCGGCGGCGGCGGCCCCGCAGCGGCGCCGCCGAGGGAAACACATCCCTGGCCCTCCCAGCCCTCCCGCCTTGAAGGATGAGGGGGTCCCGGCGGCGGCCAACCTCCTCTTCCTCCTCCTTCTCCTCCTCATTTGTACGTTAGTCGTTAGTCCGACCTAAGCACAAGCTGTGACGTTTTTCCTCCTCCTCCCCCTCCTCCTTCTGCTCCTCCTCCTCCTCCTCCTCCTCGTCGTCGTCCTCCTCCTCCTCCTCCTCCTCCTCCGCTTCGTTCCCCTCCTCCTCCTCCTCCTCCTCCTCCCCCTCTTCCTCCTCCCCTTCCTCCATCTTCATCTCCTCTTCCTCCTCCTCCTCCTCCTCCTCGTTCTCCCAGATTTCATGGTGCCTTTGGGCCGCGCGCATGCGTCGGGCCATGATTCGCGAACTCCCCTCCTGGACGCCTCCCTCTTGGAGGCCCTCGGAACGATGAGGGGATCCGGGGTTACGGCCAGGAGCTCTTAGACAGCGTGTCGCGCCGCCGGCTCTGGCCCGCAGCGCCTCGGCGCGAGCCCCTCTCCGCTTCCTGGCTCCCAGGCTTCCACGTCCCGAGTCTTCCCCAGCCTCCCGCCCCGCGGCGCGGAGCGACGTGCTGTCCGCCTGCAGGGCACAGCGTGCCGCTGGTGCCGCCGTTGCCACACGCTGAGCACACATTCCCGATCGTAGGGGTGAGGGCGAAGTGCAACGGAGGCCCCTGGCTGGGAAATGGGTTTCGGGTTCGGCTCGTGCCGTGCGCGACGTGTCTGCGGGCGAGGCGCAGCTGCGCGAGCTCTTGCACCAGCTAGGCCCATGTCACGCCACAGGGAGTTGCCTCCCCGCCGTCCAGGGCGTGCGCCGGGTTGCCTCGCGGCTGTCCCGTGTTGTTCCGCGGTTGTCCCGCGGTTGTCCCGCGGCTGGCCTGCGCGGGGTTTGTCCCGCATTTGTATCTTGGTCGTCCCGTGGCTGGCCCGTGGTTGTTCCGTGGTTGTCCCGTGGTTGTCCCGATGGTTGTCTTGTGGTTGTCCCGTGGTTGTTCCGTATGTATTTGTCCTGTGGTTGTCCCGTGGTTGTCCCGTGGTTGTTCAGTCGTTGTTTTGTGGTAGTTTTGTGGATGTTCCGCGTCTTCGAGGCCGCGTAGACCATCTTGCAGGCGGGTTGGAGCTTATTTGAAGCCTCTTGGGGCCCTCTTACGGCCGTAGTCGGGCTTCCTTGATGAGTTCACCGGGGGGTCATGGAAGCCTGGGGTGGGGTGGAGCGGGGCCGAATGCGCAGCTTGGGGTCCCTGGCGGGGTTGTCTGTGGGGGAGCATCTCACAGGCCTGGAGATCCACCAGTGGTCACTGGATTCATAGTGAGGTCGGGCAAGACGGGTGGATATTTGGATCGATGCCCCGTGGGTGTCATGTGGTTGTCCCGTGGTTGTATCGTGGTTGTCACGTGGTTGTCCCGCGGTTATCCCGTGGTCATCCTCCAGTTGTCCCGTGGTTGTTCCGAGGATGTCCCGTGGTTGTCCAGTGGTTGTCCCTTGTGAGTCGCATGATTGCCCGCGGTTGTCCCCGTGGTTGTCCCGTGGTTTTCCCGTGGCTTTCCCGTCTGTAGAAGATTAATAGTGACCGATCGATGGTGAGATCGATCTACAGATTTTTAGCGGTATTGGCAGATAGATGGTGAGTCCGACAGATAGTGAGACCGAACGAGCGATTGGTAGGAGCAGTCATGGATACATTATGAGACCCATCCATGGTTTTGTGAGGCCAATGTATTTCGAGATCGGCCGATCCATTGATAGTGAGATCGCTCTATTGGCAGCGATACCGATACACAGGCGTATGTATAGTGAGATCGATCGATCGAGGTATGTGGAGATCGACCGATCGAGAGATCGACCAATCTGTTCTGTAGTGGGATCGGTAGATGGGTTGTGAAACCGGTGTCGACAGATGAATCTATTGATATCGATATCGGTCGGTATATCGGGGCCAGAGTATACTGGTCAGTAGATCGCGCCTTATCGCCTATAAGTCGGTGATCCAGCGCTATCCGCATCCCAATTTTCTCCATCGCGACGTCGCCTGCGCATCACCGATGCATCGGCGATGCGGCGCGATCCACCGACCCTATCTACTTCGGCCCCATGAGGTGGCCTCCATATAGATCAATCCGCCACTCGATCAACGATTGACTGGCGGTAAGGCTTCTGTCAGCCTGGCTCGGTGCGATCGCAGGCTCACCATCTAGAGCTTGTCACCGGCCATCCCGTGCTGCCCCCCCACTCGTAGGCGGCGGAAGCGGCTCGGGTCGGGCGAAAAAACAGGAATTTGGAAAAGGGGGGAGGGCACGGAAGCTTCTGCGTGCAGCTGGTTTCGGCCCGCCGCTGTGCGCTTTCTTCGATACATTGGCGCCTTCGGCGGGGGAGGCGCTCGGGAGGCCAGTTGCGTGAGCTGATTCGCCAGCCCTAGTTTTGCTACCCCACCCGTCACCCGATCTGGGAGGCAAACAAGCCATACACGGCGGAGCTTTGGTCCGTCCATGCCTCGCTGTGGAGGACCCGTCGGCTTCGCCGCCCCTCGAGAGATTATCGACACCATTGGCTCCCCCAAGGGGGGTCAGAAAGACAACCTTCCCAGTTGCAGCTGGTCGGGAAGGATGAAGGAGACGAGAAACTGGAGGCAGAGGAGAAGGACGAAGAGGACGCAGAGGACGAGGAGGAGGAGGACCAGTGAAAACCCAAGAGTCATCAACGATGTTGGAGTTAACCCTCCCTCCAAGCTCCCTCTTCATAGGCCCCTACAACGGTTCATTTCCATTGAGGGAATTTCCTCGTTGGAAGACAACCGTTTGAAGATCCTGAAGCATGCCAAAACATTGTTCTCGGGATTTCAACGCCACGGATCAACCTTACTGCTGCGTCTTGACGATCCAGAATCTTGCCAGAACGCCATTTTGGGGACTCCAACACCGCGAACCAACATAATTGCTGCACCCGCATAATCCTGAATCTTTCAAAAACTAAATCTCTGGTACGTTGATCATGGGAACCCGAGAAACTCGCAATTTTTTAAAACGAAAGTGCGAGGCGCCAAGGCGATACCACATTTTGAAAAGGAGCCGCCCTCAATGCGTGAAGCTCTTGCAATCTTTAAACGAATGTGCACGGCGCGCAGGCGAGAGCCACATTTTGAAAAGGAACCGCCCTCAGTCCGTGAAGCTCTTGCAATATTTCGCAACGAATGTGCGCGGTGCGAAGGCGAGAGCCACAGTTTGAAAACGACCCGCCCTCAATCCGTGAAGCTCTGATTAGTTTTTCAAAACGAATGTGCGCGGCGCTAAGGCGAGAACCACATTTTGAAAACCACACGCCTTCCATCAGTGAAACTGTTGTCACTTTGTAAGTTCCAGAGTCATAATTGGTGAGGAAGTCTCGAGCGACACGCTTGGCCCGCTCTAAAAACTTGCCTCGGGGTGCGACAGGGAGAAGTCATTCACAAGGGAAATGAATGGAGGAGGAGGAGGAGGAGGAGGAGGAGGAGGAGGAGGAGGAGGAGGAGGAGGAGGAGGAGGAGGAGGAGGAGGAGGAGGAGGAGGAGGAGGAGGAGGAGGAGCGGGAGGAGGAGGAGGAGGAGGAGGAGCGGGAGGGGAAGGACCACCGGCTGTCGCCCTCTGAGCCGTGGGCCCCCGCCGCTCCAGGCAGGGTACTCGCGGCGGCCGTGGCCCTCGCCGCCCTCGCGGCAGGGCTGCCCCTGGCGACCAGCTTCCTCGGCGCGGGCGGGTCGGAGGCTGGGCGCCGGGCCGTCCTCGCCGGCGCCGCGGGCGCCCTGGTCGCGGGGGGGGGGGGCTCTGCCCTGACACGTCGATTGAGGAATTGGCCGTTTTCGGTTCGCGAGAGGGCGTCGCGGCCGTCGTTTTTGCGGGTCCAGGTCCGTCGGTTTCGGTCCCAGGCTGTTTTCAAAAAGGGGGGGTTTACTAAAGGGAGGTTTGTCCACCGCCGAAAGATGGGGGTCCTGAGGGATGGGGTCCTGAGGGTAGGAAGGGGTCCAAGGGTGGATTTACGTTGTTCGAGGCACCTCGTCCTCAGGACCCCATCCCTCAGGTCCCTATCGTTGAACAGGGGTGGACCTAAACGGTGTTTTGGCGATTTCGTGGGCCGTTTTCATTTCGATGTCGTTTTGCATCGACGGCGGATTCAAGACAAGACGGGGGACAACGAAAACAAGACGAACACGAAAAGCACTGTTCAGGTCCAGCCCTGAGATGGGGTCCTGATGGTAGGAAGGGGCCCAAGACTGGGTTCACGTTGTTCGAGGCAACTCGTCCTCAGGACCCCATCCCTCAGGTCCCCATTCTTTGAAGGTCCTTCGCCATGGGGGAAGCGGGTCCTGAGGGAAGCAGGTCCCGAGGTCTCTCGCCGTCTTCGGGCTCTCGGGGCCCTCTACGGGCGCCGGGGCTGTCGGGAAGCGGCCCAGGCTGAAGATCTCGTCCTGGGGGAAGGCACCAGGGTCCAGGACCCGTTTCTCTCAGGACCCGCTTCCCCCATGCCGAGTCCCGTCGGCCACGCGCAGAGGGGGGGATAGGGTGAGGGCACGGCTCGTTTCGATTCTTCCGCTTTGATCCGACTCGATTTCGATGGATGCCGATTTCGACTCGGTTCGACTTCGGATTCCGGTTCGGATACTGATTTCTAAGGGTGGCTTATTGGCCTGCCGATTTCTGCCGATTCGATTTCTCCCGACTTGGCTGCCGATTTCCGCCGATCCGATTCATTTCGATCGCCGATCCGACTTCTAGATTCGATTCTGGGCTCTCCTGGAGGGGGGAAGGCTTCTTAGAAGCACCCCTGCTTCTCAGAAGGCGCGGGCCTTGTCTAGAGATGTAGGGCCAGCGCCTTGTGAGAAGCAGCCTCCTTCTAAGACGCCTTCCCCCCTCCCCCTACCTCCTTGTGCCGCGTTTTGGAAACATCAGGGCGGAGTTTTTTCTCAATCTCCCGCCTCTGGGGGCCCTTGCCAGGCTCCGGGACTGAAAAACGAGTCGGGATGAAACACTGGCCCTGGAGAAAGTGTCGGGATTTCTGTGGGCCGCGTCTTGAACACATCGGGGCATCGCGTGTCTGAGCCTCCCGTTCCTGTTGCTGCTGCTGCTGCTGCTCCTGACTGCTCCGCAGATCGTACAGCTCTGAGGTCTGCCCGCACGCAGGTCGCCCCTGCCACTCCTCAGTATCGTGTAACAGATCCCTATCCCCATCCCCATCCCCATCCCCATCCCCATCCACATCCCGACCCCCACCATTCCACCACCCCAGTTGGGGATGTGCCCCTCGGAAGCCAAAGGGAACAGCCTATATCCCCATCTAGGGGGGGTTCATCGGCCACTGGGGCCCAGGTCACGCCCGTGGGGATGGGTATCGGTGAAACGATGCTCATGCCATTCCTCGGCTCCGCTTCGTCGAATTCGGCCGCCGTGCCCTAGCGTAGTATTTCGAATCAGCCCCTGGACGAGCCCCTGGACTGGCCCCTTGAGCCACGAGGCCTCTGGCTGCTACTCCTCCTCCTCCTCCCTCCTCCCTCCTCCTCCTCCCTCCTACGAGGGCCCCCCTCGTCTGCTGTTGCCGCTGAGGTTTCCGCCCAGACTGCCCGTGCTCAGAGTTCGTCTGCTCCCACTGGGGAGCATGCACAGGTGCCCCTGAGTACCTCAGGTATTCTGAGCTACCCCTCCCTGTTTTTGATGCCCCCGACCCCCCACCCGAGGGACATGGCGGGGGCGATTTGGCCCAGCGCCTCCCCTCGGCTGCCACTCCGAGCCTGCCCGAGGATCCTGGGCGTCGCTGGCCAGAGCCAGCACGCACCACTCCTCGCCGCGGAGACGGCGACACGGACTGGGCATTTGGGAGCCTGCTCCATCTGTGTCTGGTCAGATGGTGGGGTCGGGGGTCGGGTCCTGCTCTGGGGTTGCCCCGAGTCAGTACCCGCCCCGCCCTGCCTCGTGGTGTCTGGCTGGCTCCCCTCGCCGCGGAGGCAGCGGCATTTTAGACATGTAGGGGGCTGCCCCATCTTTGTCTGGGTGTTTGGTGGAGTCGTGGGTTGGGTCCTGTACCGGGGTTGCCCCGAGACAGCACCCGCCCGTTCTAGCCTAGAACGGGCCCGTTCTTGGGTTGAACGGGGCCGTTCTAGTCCAGAACGGGGCCGTTCTAGTCCAGAGCAGCCCCCTTCCTGCCCTGGTGGCGCCAGGCAGGGCTTCACCTTTTGTTTCTCCTCGCCCAGCTTGTGCGCGCGGGCATTCACTTCGAACCTGCCTCGTCGAGGTCGGTTCGTGCTTTTGCCTCTCTGCCCCGGGGGCCTCGCCCTCCCCGGAGGTGGCGTGCGGGCCGCATGAGCCATGCTGCGCTGCGGCGTCCCCCGTCCTCGAGGCTCGGCCTGAGTTCTATGGCCCCCCCTCGCGCCGCCCGCGGGTGATGTTGGGTGGAGCGGAGGAGCGGAGGCCTGTCGGGTGCGGGGCGGGGCCCGGTCGTCGGTGGCGTCGGCGGCGTCGGGAGCGGCGGGCCGCGCGCGCGCGCCCGCCGTGCCGCCCGCCTCCCGCCGCCGACCCGCGGCGGCTGCGTCCTCGTCATCGAGGGCCGCCCTGGGACGGGCCCCCCCCGCCCCCGCCTCCTCCTCCTCCTCCTCCTCCTCCTCCTCCTCCTCCCTCTCCTCCTTCTCCTCCTCCTCCTCCTCCTCCTCCTCCTCCTCCTCCTCCTCCTCCTCCGTTTAGGGCCACCTGCGTGGACGACCGCAGCATTCCGCAGCATTCCTCCTCCCTCCTCCCCCCTCCTGCTGCACACTGATGACGCTGGTACCGCGGTGACGGGCGGAGGCACTCCCTCGCCCTCCTCTTCCTCCTCCTCCTCCTCCATTCCATTTTCTGATGAATAGCTCCTCCCTGCCGCGCCCCGAGGCCAGTCGGAAGGGCGGGCTGGGCGTTTCGCCGGAGCCTTCCTCGTAATGTACGATCATGAAGCTTGGGACTTGCAGCAGCTTCGCGGATGGAGGGCGGGCCGCTTTCAAAGTGTGGCTCTCGCCTCAGCGCCGCGCGCATCCGTCTCAAAACAATGCAGGAGCTGCACGGGTTGGAGGGCGGGCCGTCTTCGAAGTGCGGCTCTCGTTCCAGCGCCGCGCACGTTCGTTCCAGCAGAACATAGAAGCTTCGTGGGTGGAGGGTGGCTCCCTTTCGAAACGTGCGCCGCGCACATTCGTTTCAAGAGTTGGCAGCAGTTTCAGGGATCCGCCGGGTGAGCGTCTCAGACATGGCGTTTTTGTGCGCGATGTCGGATTGTCACGGCGCAGCCGTTGCCCTGAGTCGTGGCGGCGAAGTTGCAGAATTGGTGTTCTGGTGCGATTTAGGACCGTCAAGACGCAACAGCAAGGGTGATTTGCGGCTTTGGACCCAGGAAAGGTGTTCTGGCACAGTTCGTGATTTTCATACAGTCGTTTTCCAACGGGCATTTCCTTCAATGAAGATGAATCCTTGTAGGGGCCTATGAAGAGAGAGAGCTCGGAGGGAGGATTATTGCAATGTCGTTGATGAGTCTCAGGTTTACACTGGTTCTCTTCCTCCTCCTCCTCCTCCTCCTCCTCCTCCTCCTCCTCTTCCTTCTCCCAGTCCTTCGTTTGCCGCGCTTCTCGGTCGCCTGCTGGCGCGAGTCATGGCTCCTGCATCGCGCCGCCCTGTCCCGCTTGTCATCGTCCGCCTCGCCGTCTTTTTTGGTCCTCCCGTTTCCCGGCAACGTGTTCGGACGGTTTCGTCGGCTCCTGGAGGTTCTTTTTGCCTCGGGATGCGTTTCAGCGACTGCGCCTAGCCGAGGGCGACCTGATCGTCCCGAGCGACTGCCATGGATCCGAGTAATGATGCCCAAACCGAGTGGATCTTCGCCAGAGTGACCTTTGGTGCGCGGCTTCCCTTGGACGCGGGGTGGCCAGACCCAAGCGATGCAGGCCGCTGTTGCCAAATCGCATGCAACGATCGGTAAGCTGCGCACCAAAGGCCACTCTTGCCGGGGTCACTCTTTCGTGCAGCCGATCCTTGTAAGCCTTATGCCCTTGAGGCTTCAGGCTCGAGGCCTCCAAGGCATCGAACAACATCTGGGCGGTGGTTTTCCGCTGCTGTCGGCCTGCGGAGGCTGCTTTCGTGCTCCGGAGCCGTCAGGAAACGACTCAGGGCGAAACGCCAGCCTCGGGGAAAAGGCCGGGCCTTCCTGGGGCCCTGTAGGAAAGAATCGGAGGTGGACAGGCCTCCTACCCTGATACGTCGATTGAGGAATTGGCCGTTCTCGCTTCGCGAGAGGGCGTCGCGGCCGTCGTTTTTGCGGGTCCAGGCCCGTCGATTTCGGTCCCAGGTCTAGTTCACTAAGGGGAGGTTTACTAAAGGGAGGTTTGTCCACCGCCGAAAGAAACACGTCGTCGGACGTTTGGGGAGCGAGGTCTTCCGGAAGCCTCTGGCATCTCTTTTGGCCGCCGCCGCCTGCGCCGCCCTCGTGCCCAAGGCTGGGCGCGGCTGGAAGACCTCGTCGGGACGCTGTCCAGGAGGGGCCCAGGGATGTTCGATTGTTCCGCGCAAGCGGTTAGGCCGACCCAGACCTTAGGTTTGGGCGTCACGGAAAATAGTACGGTCAGGAACTTTTGGATAGCGTGTCGCTCCGACGTTTATGGCCCACCGTGCCTTGGTGCGGCACGCTATCCGCTTCGCGGCCCCCGGGCATCAACGCCCGAAGCCTTTCCGAGTTTTCCGCGCCCGAACGGTCGCTGCGCTGCGCCTGGCGTGTTTTTTCCGCGCTCGAACGGTCGCTGCGCGGCGCCCAGCTTCGTTTTTCCGCGCTCGAGCGGAGCGACACGCTATCCACTCACAAGGCATAGCTTGTCGCTGGGGCCGCCGCGGCGACACGCTATCCTAAAACTTCCGACCGTATTCGATTGTCCAGCGCAAGCGGGTAGGATGTCCCAGACTTCAGGCGTCACGAACAAGACTGTCAACACACGGTCCAGAGCGAAAGATTGGCAATCGAGAGCTCGGAGGCCCATGCCACGAAGAAATCACGACGCCTGCGGTCTTGGGCCTTCGTCATTCTCTTCCTCTCTTCTCAACCGCGCCGTCGGTCCCTCGCCCCCTCTCCTCACTGCTTGCTCTCTTGCTTTCCTTCCTTCCTCCCTCCTCTAAAATACCATTCTTTCCTCCTCCCTCCTCGCCCTCCTCCTCCCACGTCGTCCTCCTCCTGCGCCCCCCGCCTTCTGCCTATGAGTATCTCCCGGCCGCGCAGGTCGCGAGCGCTGGGGCCACCGAGGCGCAGGCGCAGCTGCAGCCCAGCCTGCCTGCGCCGAAGAAGAAGAAGAAGAAGGACCCCCCCTGCAAGAGGAGGAGGTCCAGGAGGAGGAGGAGGAGGAGGAAAAGGAGAAGGAGGAGGAAAGGAGGAGGAGGAGGAGGAGGAGGAGGAGGAGGAGGAGGAAAAGGAGGAGGAGGAGGAGGAGGGGTTGGAGGAGGAGGAGGAGGAGGAGGAGGAGGAGGAGGAGGAGGGGTTGGAGGAGGAGGAGGAGGAGAAGGCTGCAGTGAGTCAGAAACTTCGGGAGCGTCCAGGACGTTCATCACCAGAGAAGAATGAACCACTACCACCAGCTGCGGGGGCTGGCCGCGCCCTTCCCCCGAGCTGGTGGCACCCCGTTCGGGGCGCGCCCCCAGAGTGCCCAGAACGGAGTGCCACCGGCTCGGGGTGGTGGTCTTTGGGAACGGAGTTCTGTGGCGTTCTGGTGGTGGTGGCTCTTTTTGCCGTCGTGAGTTCAGCAACCAAGTCACACCTTCCTCAGTCTGGCCCTCTGGGGACTCTGGCAGGGTTCCTGGGGGCTGACGGAGACTAGGGTGCACCTCCTCCCCCCCACTCGCTTCGTCCCTCTCCCCCTCCCTCTCTCTCCAGCCCCTCCAGTTCTGCCGGAGCCCCGCCTCGGCTGCCTGGTCCAGCCTGGCCCCAGTCTTTGCTGCGCCCTCCCTCGCTTCTCTCCGCGCTTGGCCGTCTTCCTGGTGCCCGCTTGCCCCTCAGGGGAGAGCGCTCCGACGGAGCCGGCACGCAGGCTTGGGATGGCTGCTCTCTGGGGAGGCCGAGCTCACAATCGGCGCTGGCAGATCCCTGGTCGAAACCTGGCCCAGTCCAGTCTCATCCCGCTCAGCCCGGCCGACTCTCAGCTACACTCTGGCTTCACCCCGCTCAGTTTGGATTCATCTCGCTCAGCCCAGCGGAATCCCGCGCTTAATCTGGCCTGATCTCGGGGAAATCAAAAAGTACCGACACCGCTACTCCCGGGACTTCTCCTGGCGTGCGTTCTGACTAGACTTGTTGACGCTTCGCGAAACCCCACCAGCCCATCCAGAAACGATGCCCAGAGGAATTGTCTCGATCAGGGAAATGGGCAGCACACAGAGGAAGCAATTATGAGACATCTTGGGATCTCTTGAGCCATCTTGGAGGTCATTTTGGGCTCTCCCAGGCGCTCTTGGAGTCATCTGAATCAGTGCCCCCCCCAAGAGGCCAACATGTGGCTAAAACCTTCGTAAAATCAATGATGTGGCATTCTCGCCGAGGCCTCTTGGAGCATCTTGGGTGCCTGGGGGGTCTCTTGGGGCCTCTTGGGGGTCTCTTGGGGGCCTCCTGGGGGCCTCTTGGGGCTTCCTGGCCACCTCTTGGGGCCCTCTTGGGGCACCCTTGGGAGCCTTGGGGGCCATCTTTGGGCCATCTTGGGTGAGATCGATCACAGGAGGGGGGGGTGTTCAATTAGCGTCCCCCCCCAGGAGGCCAACATGGGGCCAAAACCTTAGTAAAACCAATGATTTTGGCTTCCTCGCCGAGGCCGTTTTGGACGCCCTGACACCTCGCGACCCCCCTCCCGTCCAGGTTCAGGGGAGGGGGTAGGGGGAGGGGTGCAGGCCCCCCCCCGCCCGCAAGCCGTCTCGCTCACTCCCACCCGCCCTCCCAGCACAAACGTAGCACCCGAGTCTGGCCCGAGCCTCAGCATATTCAGCAGTCGTCTTTGGATGGGTAGCTACTGGGGGCCAATCCGCTGCCGCCACCGCCGCCTCCGCCGTCGCCGCCGCCGCCGCCGCCGCCGCCGCAGCCGCTGCCGCTACCGCCACCGCCACCGCCGCCACCGCCGCCACCGCCGCCGCCGCCGCCGCCGCCGCCCCCGCCGCCGCAGCGCCGCCGCCGCCGCAGCGCCGCCGCAGCCGCCGCCGCGCCTCCGCCAACTCTGTTGTTTTATGACAGGGATGGTGGGGTGGGGCGCGCATCGGGTTGGCTGCGCATGTTCCGAATATGGAGGCAAAGTGTGTTGTGTATTGTCTTTTTGTTTTACAAGTGATTGTGGGGGGGGGGGGGTGTTGGCATGGACCTGGTTGGCCCCCAGTCGCCTGGGGGAGGGGGTGTTTATTAATAGGGAACAGTGATCAAGACCCCCCCCCGCCCGCAAGCCGTCTCGCTCACTCCCACCCGCCCTCCCAACACATACGTAGCACCCGAGTCTGGCCCGAGCCTCAGCATATTCAGCAGTCGTCTTTGGATGGGTAGCTACTGGGGGCCAATCCGCCGCCACCGCCGCCTCCGCCGCCGCCGCCGCCGCCGCCGCCGCTGCCGCCGCCGCCGCAGCCGCTGCCGCTACCGCCACCGCCACCGCCGCCACCGCCGCCACCGCCGCCGCCGCCGCCGCCGCCACCCCCGCCGCCGCAGCCGCCGCCGCCGCCGCCGCAGCCGCCGCCGCAGCCGCCGCTGCCTCCGCCAACTCTGTATTGTTTTATGACAGGGATGGTGTGGGGGGGGGCGCGCATCGGGTTGGCTGCGCATGTTCCGAATATGGAGGCAGAGTGTGTTTTGTATTGTCTTTTACAAGGGATTGTGGGGGGGTGTTGGCATGGACCTGGGTTGGCCCCCAGTCGCCTGGGGGAGGGGGTGTTTATTCATAGGGAACAGTGATGCAGTGATCAAGACCCCCCCCCGCCCGCAAGACGTCTCGCTCACTCCCACCCGCCCTCCCAACACATACGTAGCACCCGAGTCTGGCCCGAGCCTCAGCATATTCAGCAGTCGCCTTTGGATGGGTAGCTACTGGGGGCCAATCCGCCGCCGCCACCGCCGCCTCCGCCGCCGCCGCCGCCGCCGCTGCCGCCGCCGCCGCCGCCGCGCAGCCGCTGCCGCTGCCGCCACCGCCGCGGCCGCCACCGCCGCCACCGCCGCGCCGCCGCCGTCGCCGCCGCAGCCGCCGCAGCCGCCGCCGCCGCCGCCGCCGCCTCAGCCGCCGCCGCAGCCGCCGCCGCCGCCGCCGCCAAGTGCACTCTGTATTGTTTTATGACAGGGATGGTGTGGGGGGGGGGGCGCATCGGGTTGGCTGCGCATGTTCCGAATATGGAGGCAGAGTGTGTTTTGTATTGTTTTTTACAAAAGATTGTGGGGGGTGTCGTCATGGACCTGGGTTGACCCCTAGTCGCCTGGGGGAGGGGGTGTTTATCAATAGGGAACAGTGATAAACCCTTCCCCGAAGGGGAAAAAGGAGAAGTGGAAGAGGAAACGCTCTAAACCACCGACGCGCAGAGGGCTGGTGGGATTTTGAGGAGAATCCAGCGGTGGCGACGAGGGCTCCCAGGAGGCCCCAAAAAGGGAAACCAGGCAAGGGTATCAGTATGGGTTCCTCTTTACCTAACAGCTCTTGCTGATAGGTTTCTAGTGGTCTCAAAAGAGAGCATCATGACTCCTCAGGGGGGTCTGGGCGGGACCCGGAACGGCTGCCGCCGAAGCTGCCGCCGAAGCCGAAATCGCTTTGGACATCCTCGCAAAATCGCTCTTGGCGCTCCCAGAACTCCATTCCCGGGCCACATTTTGGATGCCCGGAACCAGCTGTAAGCCACTTCGTGCTCTTCGACTTCCCAAAACTCCATTCCCGGGGTACATTTTGGATGCCCGGAGCCAACTGTAGGCCACTTCGTGCTCTTCGATTTCCCAGAACTCCATTCCCGGGCCACATTTTGGATGCCCGGAGCCAACTGTAGGCCACTTCGTGTTCTTCAAGTTCCCAGAATTTTATTCCTGGGCATGATTTTGAATACGAGCCAACTGTAGGCCACTTCGTGTTCTTCTAGTTCCCAGAACTCCATTCCTGGGCCACATTTTGAATGCTGAGGCAGGCTGATGCTGCGGCCGAGGCAGGCTGAGGCTGAGGCAGGCTGAGGCTGAGGCCGAGGCTGAAGGCAGACTGAGGCTGAGGCTGAAGCAGACTGAGGCTGAGGCTGAGGCAGGCTGAGGCTGAGGCTGAGGCAGGCTGATGCTGAGGCAGGCTGAGGCTGAGGCTGAGGCTGATGCAGGCTGAGGCTGAGGCAGGCTGAGGCTGAGGCCGAGGCTGAAGGCAGACTGAGGCTGAGGCTGAAGCAGGCTGAGGCTGAGGCTGAGGCAGGCTGAGGCTGAGGCAGGCTGAGGCTGAGGCTGAGGCAGGCTGAGGCTGAGGCTGTGACTGCGACTGCCGTTGCCGCTGCGACTGTCATCGCGAATGCGACTACGACTGCGAGAACAGCAGAATTCGACAACTGGATTTTCATCTGAATCTTAAGGGGAATGCTTTCAGATATGCTTCTACACATCGCTGTTAGGTTGCTTTGCCGGGATAATTGTTCCGCACTGGGCAGGACGAGGATAAATCCGTTGAAGAGCGTCCTGGAACGCTCTCGGAGCATTCAGGAACGCGCTGAGAAGGCCGCGGCATCCGATACATCCTCCCAAACCGCCAGATCTCAGAGAGTCTCGATTTGCCCTCACCAGCTGTTATCCTCGTCCTGGCTTCGTCTTACACTCGGGCTCCGCAGCCTTCGAGCGCTCTGGCGAGGAGGGCCTCCCAGGAGCTGTCCCCCCTCCGCAGGGAGCCCGCTGCCGGGGATTGGGCTCGAGCAAAGTCCCTTCGGGGGGGGGGCGGGCAGAGCGCCCCGGCGGTCGGGGACCCGGGGAGGGAGGCCGCGCCCGTCAGTTGGGGCGCCCGGAAGTGGTGCGGGGACAAGCCCCGCCGGCGGCCCCCTCCGCGTTGCGCTGCGGCCGATCCCCTCGGGCGCCGTGGTGCACACCACACAGAGGCCCACGCCGGATGTCGTGGGGCCGCAGGCGGGGTGGCGCCGACTGTCTTTTGGCCCCACAGTTGGGTACGGAGAAAATGGGTACGATGCCTCCAGCCCTCCCTGATGGGGTCCGAGCAGATTGGGTCGGACGAGCCTCTGACCCCAGCTGCTCGGACCCCAGCCAGGAGGGCTTCCGATGCCCAGCAGCACGCGCTGTCCAAAACTAGCGGCGGCCGTCATTGGGCAGGCGGCCTTCTGTCTTGAGTGGGCAACGTCT